TCTACCCTACTGGGCCAGATCCCTAGCTGGGCAAACTGGCAAAATGCTGCTGTACATGCGGAAAGTGGGAGACTTGTAACAGCTGAAGAGCAGCACAATTTCTTGAAGTAATAAATGATACCTATTTCTATTAATATAGGAAGGAATAATTTACATATAGATACACACACACGCATAGATGCTAATGCCAACATTGACATCTTACACATGTAACGTACATACAACTCATGTCACATAGAGCTGTCTCTGAATGCCTGCTTAATGTTCAAATATACAGTGCAAAAACGGGAATGTGTTATACTTCAAAATTGCGAGACTTCCCCCCCCACCTCTTTCCCATCCAAGTTCATGGACTATGCACTTCAACAGGATTCACTGCCTCAGCCAGGAGCTTTAGGTCTGGTTGAGTCTGAAGGTCTTTGTAAGCCTCATACCTGAACCCTCGTGTAGCTTGACAGATACTGAGAGCGTGCTGCCTCCTTTCCTGAATGCTCCTTCGTTTCAGACATAACATCAGCGCTTCTGTGATGGTGATGGTGGGACTTCTGATCATGGTGGCCATCTCGTTTCCTGGCTTCTGAGTCAAACAAGACGCGGGTTAGCCTGTCCAGATAGTTCTCCAGCTCTTCCTGGGTGTGCTCCAGTTGTTTGCCGACATTACTGGGGAAAAAGGAAGAGGATGGCGGGGGGCTTCTGCTTTCCCTCTCCTTCTTGGCCTCTTCCACATGTGGGTTATGCCTCATTAGAAGAAGCACTATGATAAGCAAGATCAGGCAGAGATACACAACCCAGACTTCTTCCATCTTGGTAGTGAGATACAAGGAGCTGGTAGTGCTTGCTGATGGGCAAAAGAAAGAAGGCAGATGGGCCAAATACAGTAGATGGTTAGCGCTTCCCAGCCGTCAGCATCCACAGGAAGGACTGTTGCCAGTAATCAAAGCACCGTGGTAGCTGATGTCAAAGTTCAATTTTCTAAAGCAGCTTCGCTTACAAACCTTCCTGCAGTTCTAAATACAAAAGCAGCACAAACAGCGAGCGGCAAAAAAATTAAGTAAAGAAAACAAAACTTCGTCCTTAAAGTAACTTCAGCTGTCACAGCTCCATATGGTCTTAAAACAGCAGTATCTCTCCTCTTTTTTTTGTTAAGAAACTGCAGGTTCAATGCTTCTTACTCTTCAAATAACTTCCCTACAAGTGTTCGAATTGTTGTCTTGCTTGAAGTGGTAAGCTTTTCTTCTTCCTAATTCAAAGAAAAGATAAGTTAGGATCGAGGGTTTCCTTCCCCAAAGGAAGATAATAGAATATTTTATCCTTCAGGGGTTATTAGATGCTGAGTCTACCCTCAGCACTCCTAGAACAAATTTAAGTGACCGAATGGAATATTAGTCACCCTGTGTTACAGATTCAGTAGGACCAATTTATTGGCTTTTATTTGCTGGTCTTGGCAGAGGGAGTCCTTGTAGAAGTGGCTGCTGGGACTCAGGAGATCATTTCAGATGAACGTTGCGGGGAGATCCTTTGTAGGCTGTTCCTCAGTGACTCTGCCCCCGATTGCTCAAAGCAGAAGACGGGCAGCCCAGGGACCAATAAATGCATTTCCACTGACCAAGCCCAGGGAAAGGGGTTGGAAGAACTTACCAATTAGTGCCCAGCATCCAGGTTAACAGCCAAAACGTAAGCAGGGATGAGCAGCCGACAGGACAGGGCCAGTCTGCGAGGGGGGGAGGCTGGCCATCGGCTGCCCTCTTCCCCCCGGAGGCAGAGTCTGTCTGGAATGTGATTGCATTTCCTAACCTTTGCTAGGGGGATCTTTTTATAGATGAGGGTTCCAAGCCTAAAAGGAGCAGAGATCACACCCAGATTTCTGCTGCATCTGTGTGGAAACATTCTTGGGCTCACCTTGCCACAGACACAACTCTAAAATTCTTCACTTTTTTTCCCAAAGTGAGACCCTTCCTCTGCTTTGCTAAGCTGAAACGTCTGAGAAAAGTTACAGCATTCCTTCATCCCATCACACTTTAGAAGCTGATCCTCCGCTTTCACTTTTTCAAGACCGACGCTATTAAGCAAGTTTTGCTCTAGAGGCACTGCTGTACTTCACACTCCCTTTTTGCCTTGTGTGTAACTCATTCCTGAGGTGAGAACCATGCTGGACGATCTTGTAAGCAGTTTGCTGCCTGCAAGCCTAGGCCTGGCACTGCTGCCTGACATTTAAGTGGACAGTCACCAAAGAGATACGGTACTGCAAATCCAGCCACCCCTTTTGCACCGATCTCAAACACGTGGCACAAAGCTAAGGAGAGGATGCAGACAAAGACAGGCAGGTCAGAACTGAGCTCAATTTCCTTAATGCAAGAACACTGGAACAGAGAACTCCAAGCAGATGAGAACGTCTCCTTGCTCCCTCACTGCTGTCCATCATCAATGCCTTAGGGCACGGACCATACCTCCAGCCACACACATTACAGTAACCAGTAGAGCAAAGCCCTGCCCCAAACCTGACACTGCTGTATAAGATATGTCACTGAAATCCTAAAAAAAGAAATGCTAAAAGGGGAAAACATAATTTTTTAAAAAACATCATTAGGACTGCATTGTGACTCCTATAAAGAGGAATGGACTAATGGGGCAGCAGCAGCATTGCCTAACTTATAACAACATTGCTTGCCTCCTTTCGAGAAAATGATAATGCAGCAGAGATGCTTCAAACATTGCAACGTTTAAGAGTGAATGACTGCTGTAATTTCAGATACAATATAGATGCAATAGAGTTGTGTCTTGAAGACACAATCACTAATGAAATAACTTGGGCATATCTGTGAAACTTGGGAGGCATCACCTTGACTATGAAAACAGGGAGTGAACACAAAAGCAAAATGCCTTGTCCAAGATGACCCAGCCGACCTGTGGCACCAACCCAGCTGACTCTGGTCTTGCACTCAAGTCCACAGGTCAAGCGTGACAACACTCAGGGCTATGAAGTATCGCATCCACGAACGTTTGCCTTCCAAGTGCTCCAATGAAGCACTGCAAAGGGAATACAGGCTGGCTGTGCAGGTTGGCATTATGTGAAGACCTCTGAAAAACCACAGGAGCTGTTCACATATTGGAACACATTTTTCTCTGACCTCTTTGGAGATAAACTGGCTGGACTAGGTAACACCAAATGTCCACCTCACTGGCATCTTTATTCTAATTGTGAATGCCTAATGAATAGTATAAGCACAAAGTAATTATGTACAAATGCTTTCCAGGATACTCCTGCAGCCTTCCACAGAGCAGGATTTTATAATGCCTTAGCAACTCTAGATTCACCTAAAACAAGACCAAGAAAAAAATAACTATTTCCCAGACATACACTGCATAACCAGCTAGGAAAGAAAACAGCTGTAGTTCCAATGTCATGTACAAGATGCTCTTTAATCTTAGTAAATGGCACAAAACCACTAGAAGTTTGACAACACCACAGCTTTTGTACGTTTAATATAAAACCCTGGAAATCCAAAAAATACTGTATAGTGTTGTTCCACACAGTCAAAGTAACAGCAGTGCTCCTCAGCAAGTAAAATAATAATCTGCTAGCCTATTGATTTCCAGTTTTAACCCACTGATTTCCAGACTTAAAAGTCTTCTCTGCATATTTCTCCTCATCAGATATGTTACCCAGGTTCAGTTTCTCCTTATGCCTAGACAAGCATTCTTTAAAATATTTAAGACAAAAAAATATCCTCGCAGATGCAACTGACTGCATCAGAGGTTAGAAATAAAATACTTTTTTTTTTTTTTATAGCCAACATCAGGTTTTTGAAGTCTTTCCCAGGAAACATTTTCCACCGTCTCTCAGTGCACCTTGGAATCTGCCCACACTCCATTTCTCACTCCTCACAGAGGATGACTGACTGGACTATAAAAAGGAAGGGAAGCACTGCACCCTAGGGACACCTGATACCATGTTTCCTTTTAAAGGACTTCTGCTCCTTCAGCTTTTTTAGGCTGAGTGGGGAAGATTTTCTGCACGAACACAGGAGATGGGTTC